TTGCGTTAATACCTACGCTAATCAATAAGCCTATAGTGTGATGATTGCTTGCGCCAGTAATACACCAGTTTACGGTAATCGGCGCCATTTTAATTTATGAGTAAACAAACCAAATGACCTCTAGAGGTCAGTGGTTGCGTAAATGCGTAAATTAAGATTGCGCCCATGCAAAGTATGATGACATCACTGCCTGCGCGCTGGATTGTGCGCTCACATCATAATTCGCATGGGCGCAATCTTAATTTAGGCATAAACCACTTTACAGTGTTAAATTGACAAATTGACAAATTGACAAATTCAAACCGATTGTAAACTTCTCCACTACCCCAATGTGGGTGACATGAGAATAAATTGTCAATGCCATAAATTGTCATTGTCATTGCCACTGACCTCGACTAGAGGTCATTTGGTTTGTTTACTCGTATATTAAAATGGCGCCCATGTCTGCGCATGCGCTTTGTTGAAACCGTAAACTGGTGTATTCAACTCAGTTTTTGCACTGTTCGTTTCACGCTTGTTTGTTTTATTATGATATCAGTTTATCAAAGACCACTCCGATCACTGACGCAGTCCTACGTCAGGACAAAAACGCTTCGTGTGCAACGGACATCAGTTCATTGTACTTTATGTACATATCATTCTTTATCATTTTCTTTCTTTCTGTGTTCATTATACATATGATGTTACCATTTCTTTAGTTTGACCTGGTATGTGGAATGGAAGATCAGGCTCAAATATCCCAATCAGTTTACTACGGCGGTTACCTAGCTGGATCAATCATCAACGGAACATTGGCGGATATGTAAGCAATTAATTTAAAGGGGATCCGTCATACATGTCCTTATGCCTAATGTCTTACATCTCAATTTTGACTGGATAATTATCTGTAGAATATACATCATTATCTAAAATTTATAACGTTTATAATTAATTCAGGTTGCATCGTTTCCATCATATAATTTCGTTGAACAAACCGCCCACATGAAGATATATAAATACGTGTGTGTGTGTGTGTGTATACAAATATGATGTGATATATACAATACATATATAAACACACTTGCATAGAAATACATGTACATCTCTCACAATATTGCAACATACAAAGCTAAAAGGCCATCCCACAATATGCTTCATTTGTATTTCTGAAGGAATTAGCCTTCATGTACATATCATTCCTCATTATTATTGTAATTATCATCATCATCACAATCTTCATCTTCTTCTTTATTATCTTCGTCGTCGTTATTATAACAACCGTCGCCTTCGTCATCATATTCCATCATTTTCTCACGGCCGTTGTCATTAAAAAAAGAAATTGTATCATTGCTTGTGGATCGCATCTTTTGCTTTATACTTGTATGTTTGAAGAGTTGGACGATGGTGGATGCTTATGATATTGATGTTTGTCCGGCTAATCTCGGGGATAGCTATAGCATTCTCCCCCAACTGGTGGGTCTTCACTGTTCTGCGGTTCTTCCAGGGTTACGCTACTATATATATCATCGCCTTCATTGTAGGTAAGAGATTAAGAACAATGTGGTACCCCTTCTCTTCCACACCCCATAGCGCTCATGGTGCCAAGGCAAATATTGATTTGTACCTTTAATTATAAGATTTGACTATGAACCCCTTCTCTATATAAAAAGAAAATTCACATATCCTGAAGCGCAAATTTTCAGTTACAACATATATGAATTTAAATTTAGAAACAACAATGTCAACAGAACATTGAGAATATGACGTCAGTAATTAAAGATATCAAATAATACTTTATATTGGAATGACATCATAACCTCTGTTAAGTAGAAATGAGGCATGAAATCATATTTACCTTTTCACGCCCTTTGAGAATATGTAATCAAAAGTGGGGGCCACCTTTCATTCTGAGGAGTTGAAGCAGGTCCAAATTTGGCAATTAAAAAAATATAATAAACAAAATTCGCGCGCACGTGCATTTCTAGGTATTACGTGCGCGTATCGTAGTTGAATGGTCAAAAGGGGCTAGCAAAGAGAAGGAATTGTCATGAATAGAATCAGGAACCCAAATATATATGAAAACTGGGTTTCTAGCTTTCATACGACCAACGTATTGAAAAATGCGAGCGTATGTGCGTGAGAGCACATTTTTTGAAAACGTTGAGAATGGCCTGAAAAAATATGCAAATGTAATTTGAGACAATTGTTAGCATTTTCAATTTGTCGGGTGATATGTTGATATGCTGCCCATTAAGTGTCGTGATATCGAATTTTATTGTGACTTGGTAACATTGTCGAAGGTTCTTTAAAAAATTGCGTAATTTGTGTATGAAATGTTACTTATTAACTTCCTTCTACTGTACCCTCTAACATGCCCAAAAATCCTGAAAAAAATCTCAAACCACAAAAATATTGATGGTTTTCTAAGAAGGCGTCACTGTGCAACACCCTCTAACAGTGAATAACAGTAAATTCTTGCAACCATATTTAAATTTTCTAAACCGTTTTTCCATTAAACTAAGACATAAGATTTTAAAAATCTGCCAACAGTTCAATGTATGGAATAGAATATAGAGCCAATTCATTGCTTTGTGACGATTTACATTCACCTTAAATAAAAATTAAAGTTGTAATAATATAGTTGGGAGAATTATAAAGGCATCGATCAGATCAGTTGTTCCCAATTTGTATCGTTAATAATGATCCGTTTTCACTCGAACTTTCATATTATCTTTAATTGTACATCTATCATTGAAGTCTCTAACTTTAATAGCACCATTTTCTCTTAAAGGTAATACAAAGTTTTGGTATAGGGTCATGAATTTGGTTCAAATGAACATATTGGAAGCATATGCGATCCTACAATATTCAGTGATCGTTGTCGCGATTGAAATCATGCCTAAAATTATTAAATTGTAAATAATAAACTCTTTATGTTGTATAGCTCCCTCTCAAGGTCAAGATTTTAATTAAGCTATAAAACAATGTTTCCTTGCTTAAATCGATCGATCAGCTATCCCCGTTTGGAAATTATATATCACAACTACATTTTCTGAGATTTTCATGGTCGCAGCTACCATAGTACGGCCATAGGCGCTATTTGAAATTTATCAAAATTTACCGGGAGCACCGGTAAATTTTTATATTCCATTTTTCTAGAAAGCAGAAATGTTTTAGGGGCTAAATTTTCTAGTGCTTATAATACATCTACAGGGGCATCCAAATATATCGAAATTGTAAAGAATCACTCTCCACTCCACTCTCCATAATTTCCAAAAATTCCCAAAACTTTGTATTACCTTTAATCTTTACAATGTTACCAAGTCCCGTAAAGTGTTACGTCATGTTGTTAATGTTAATTCACTAGATGACGTCACATAATTAAAACGACCTACGTGTGCTCAGGCCTCAATAGGGTCTACCAATGTTCCTATTTTGAAGCCGTAAAATCTGATTTCTATTCTTGAGAAGTCTGTTCCACAAGAAATATACAGACAGAAAGAAACAAAAAATCCTGACAAATATAAGAGGTGTTATAAACGATAGTACAAACCTCCTACTAATATTAACCTTTGTTCTCTAGGAACCGAGTTTGTCGGGCCATCGAAACGTAACGTCACCGGTATTATCTTCGTTATCCCTTTTGCTCTCGGCTACGTTTGCCTCGCGGGCATCGCCTACTTCGTACCATACTGGAGGACTTTAGAACTTATTTGCGTCTCCCCAGCACTTATCTACATTGGCTTGATGTTGTAAGAGGATTTATAGAATCATTACTTTTTTATATATTGAAATATGTAGTGTGGTGTCTATCTGGCGTTACCTTTTTTGTGTACATGACACTTATCAGCATTGAATTAGTTTGGAGGAAAAGATTCAAGGGAAACCTTAACCCCCCAAAAGAACTTTACATATTCTGAGGTATTTATTATATTCTTGCCCATTGATCTACAAGATTCCCTACCAAAGTATATGAGAGAAGCATGAAGCAGGAATAATGTACAGTTTCCCAGCATGACATGGGCATTGCCTTATTGACTAAAGTATCTTCTTTTATGAAAGACGCATCTCATCCAATAGTTTCTTGTTTAACTTTTAATCAATTAGGAATCCGCTGGTGTGTAAAAATTATACCCAGAGAGCCAGATTCAGAAATTCTTTGTTTCCAAATTGCATACACATCTAAACAAATCACGAACAACACAAATTCCTCAGCTGTAAGCGAATAGCGATTATGATTATTTCTTAACTTTTTCTCTACCCACCCAGTAAAATAATTTTGTAAGGATTGGGTGGAAAGTATTCCACCTTATCAACTTTGTGGGTTGAAAACATCCGTTGTACAGCTCTGCTGTTGATTTACTTTGTATAAATCATATAATTGTCTTGTTATGTCGTATGCTGAGAGCTGGAGTACCGCAGCTGCTCATAGACGTTTTCTTTATAGAGTATTGACGCCCCTATGGCTTTCAGCACACGACGCCATGTTCTTGTCTCATGTTTCCCATATTACATGTTTCACCAAAAGAAATCAAACTTCCGTATTATATATATGGACATCATCATTTTGAATCTTGAATCTTGATAATGCCAAGAATATCTTTATGTATATATATCTCTTGTATATTTTTGGAAGGAATATTGTACAACAAAGGGCAGGAACATATCTCTCTATACAAATACCTACACTTGTTCTTTGAGGTTAAGTTTTCTTTAAGGAATGGGCATTCTATATCACATGCTGACGGCCTTTTAGTTTATATTCAGTCATTCAGACTCATGAAAGACACGGATACGTTAACTAATTGCATTAGATTCAAGATTGCTTTGAAGAAAAGCATTATTCTCCTTTGTTCCGTGAACGGAGGGATACAATGCGTGTTCCCAAACTCTCCTGCTCGTAACAAAATAAAATGGTCTACCCATATTGACTTTACACACCGGGCTTTTACTGCTAAAAAAAGGGGGGTCGATGGGAACACGCATATGCGTACCCTAAATCACACTGAGTGGAGGGCCGGGCGGTTATATTAAATAAAAACACAGGAATTAACACCTTTCACTTCACCCAAACGCCAACAGCTCCATATTTCCATATCTTACAATGTTGTGACAACGCAAGTCTTTATTCTCTCCTGTTAGCTTTCTTCCGGAATCGGTTCGTTGGCAAATATCGGTGGGAAAGTATGACGAGGCGGAAAAGACTCTAGTGAAGATTGCTAACTCGAACGACAAGCCCCTTTCAGGTCCATTCTTCAGCAGTGATTTTAAGAAGAAACAAGTAAGTACTTAAATACGGAAAGAGAATAATGGCATATGCAGAAATCAACTAACACGGAAACGGATCCTCTCTGGCAAGATGATGAAAGGAGGGGGTGGAGCAACAGACGGAAGAGCAGGAGATGGAGGAAGGAAGATTAGAAGACTATGTAATGACTTTGGCGGTCCCCCGTGTTGTAGACTTAGGGTGCGTCAATGCTCAATTTTGAAGGCAGAATGAGCGATTTGAAACGCTCATCGTAAACGCTCATCGTAAAGGCAGTTCCACGGTGTATGCTCACTGTTTATGCTCACTTCTCTGGCTCCTCCAGACATGATTCTAGCTCTGCAGCTGGATTCGCAAACCTGCACTGCGCATGCTACGTTAACCCAATTTAAATGCGTTTACAAATGATTGTGCGTTTATGCTTCCCTAGAATCGCCGATCCAAAAGCACCTTTTCGTGAGTTTACGATCGGCGATTGTGATCGTCGTTTTTCGGTGATTCTACAAAAAAATAAGAAAGGACGCAACCGTGTTTTGAACTTAACGCGTAACAAATGCTTCATTCTGGCCAGAAAAACTTGAGCATAAACGTACTGGCGTAGGTCCCCTAGTTGATAAGCAAAGTAGCATACACATGCTTTAGCAGTGTCGCAAAACAAACACTGGAAAATTGTTGTGGGTTTGTACGTGTTCGCGCGTGTATGTGTGTGACTGTGTTTGCGTGCGGTGCCAACAGACGATGCAAAAATAATGTATTTGTTTTCATAACGGCTCCAGAGCCGTTTATGCACAGAGTTTGGCCAACTTGGTTTCACTGGGTCACAACAAGGCGTATATTCGTTTGTTTTGTGCTTGCCCAACAAAGCAGTAGTCGCCTTATTGTGTCCAACCCGAACCGGGTTGGCCAATCTCTCCTAATCAATAGCACTGAGTGGCTCTTTAATGCACCTCCTCCCCGATAAAAGTCTAAGTTAACTGCTAATTTCCGATTGTGGTAGGAGGAAAACAAAACAATTTCCAGTAACCTTTCATCGTTTTTTTAATCTCTGTTAGTCCTAATAAGAAATCTACTTCGTGATGTAATTAGAATTGCTTCTAGTCACTTTTTTATGACATGCAATTCTTTCACCACAGACATGACACATTCAGATTGGTTTTCAGTTAGACACTCGTATGCTCTGTTACATTTAGGATATGTGTAAATTATTATTACTAGAATCAATACTATTATTATTATCATTAATATGACTATAGTGAATATCAATTATTTTCAATGTTATCATTATTATTATGATCATATTATCATTACTATCATCATTATTATTATCATTATCTTTATTATTCGTATAGGAGGCCGCACCAAGGGAGAGACGAGCTACAGGAATTGACATATTCCGCCAGCCTCGAATGAGACTACGAACCATCAATCTTATCTTTACCTGGTTTGTCCAATTTAATTTGAACTTCTGATACTGATTTAGCCTAAGCCTGTAAATGTAAATTATTATTTTCATTATCATCATTATTATTATATTATTATCATTATTATTATTGTTATTGTAATCATTATCAGTATCAATACAGTTGCTAGCTATGATTGCATTATCGGCTGGCTAGCAATATAGGCCTACAATGTGTTTATAAAGGACTATATGGCTGTTACAGCAGTAGTATTCTGACGCTTGTTATGAATTGTAAAAAAATGATGTAACGTTATTGGACATTGGCTACAATGTGGCTTCAGTAATAGCTTTTTCTTCTTCGTGTTGTCCTTTATCAGGATGGTGAATTCCTTGGTGTACCACGGTCTATCACTAAACACCTCAAACCTCGGTGTCAACGAATACGTCGCCTTCGCAGTGTCAGGAGCCGTCGAGATCCCTGCTTACCTTCTCTCCGTGGTCGCCATCGAGATCAAGTTCATAGGACGGAGGATTAGTCTCAGTGTGTGCCTGTTGGTCGCCGGCGTGGCTTGCCTCTCTACATCCGCCATACGTAAGATAATGAAAGTTAATGGATGAGACTGTTGCCTAAAGGCGTCGTTTAACAATGTTTCTAGTTTCACAAATCTGAGATGCATGGCTTTACGTGTTATCAGTGTCTGTGATATGGCGTTATGTCGTTGCCCTAAACAAACTGCGCTTCAAAATGATCATGAAGTGCCTCAAAAAATAAAAAATCTTTGAGTGACCGGTTTAACAATACTCATTTTCTCAAATATACTGTAGTGTTAACAAAAAACGGTTCTTGAAATTTAGATTTCAAATCATAAATATCTTGATAATCAGATCGGCTTGTAAAATTCATGGGATTCCTGACTGACCTAATGGTTTATAATTATGATTGCAGCATGAGCTCAATCCAGAATTTTGTTAAGAATCTGAGGCAAAGAGACCAAATCCCTTCAAGGTAATGATCCCACTCCCTCTCTCCTTCTAGTTCCTCTACTCTGTGTAAACAGTGGCGGCTCCCGTATTTCATAATAAAGGGACGGTTTGTTACACATGCATGCTATGGCAGTTGACAAAGGAAGAGAAACTTACATGCACCTCCCCCGTAACAATGCACTATTTGTACAAAACAGCTGCAAGAAAGAAGGCAACATTATTTAACAATTTTCTATTTACCCATTTATCAGAACTTGGACAAAAGTCTGTCAATCCTATTAGCAATCACTTTCTTCATCTTCTTTATTTATATCTATCTCTGTCTTTTTTCTCTTTCTTTAATATTCATAGCACCCGGAGCAGCACTCACATCAGTTGCAATGATTGGTAAATTTGGAATTTCGGCATCTTTCGCAATCCTGTATCTGTACACCGCGGAGCTGTACCCAACCAACATCAGGTAAAGCTTGTGTATATTTACACGGTATTGTAAATTAAGGTCATCAACACATTTTGTTAACACATGTAAAGGTATAATAATAAATAAGGAATAAACATAGATATGTAAACCAATAAATATATTCATTAATAAATCAATGACGGAATAAATAATCCAATCAATCAACCAACCAATCAATCAATAAGTAAATACGTGAATCAATGAACAAATCAGTCCAGTTAATCTTTCATCCGACTCAGAGAAATAATGTTTTGAAAGGGCTGCCTGAAACATAATGGAATTGCGAAACAAACAATAAGAAAATATACTAGTTGTTTATATTATTTGGCACATTGGTTACGGTGGACTGCAAAAGAAAATTCAACTTCATCATCGTATATTTTTTTCTTCATTTTATTTCATTTATTTCCACATCTCATAAAAAAGCATTTAACAATTTACATACAATATCTGATTAACACAACTAAACAAAACAAGAAAATAGCATAACAATATTCAAAGAATTTAAATCACCTAGAACTAATACTTAAGACTGTGGTGGAGCCAATAGAGGCCATTGATCTATCAAGGGCTGGTCTCCAGAAATAAATTAATAATATATAGGTAGGTACAAAACATAATTAAGTACATAACAAAAGGGAAACAGGCGGTCTGTGTGAAGGAAAAGTATACACAGAGAATATTTGAGCATAAATACTTCAGGTGATGTAATAATTCTTTTTTTAAATCAAGATATTTTAGCACATTAAAAGGCATTGTTTATATTTGCGTTTGAAAGAGGCAAGCGATGGGCTGTTTTTTTTATGTCATCAAGTAATGAATTCCATAGTTGAGGTCCCAAGTGACGGACCGTCTGTTGGGACGACTCATACTTTAACAATTGCACACGTCGTCTATTGCAATATCTGGTATTGTACTGATACATTTCAGAGTTTAACAAGAAAATATTACTAAAAACCTCAGGTAGCAAGTTGTTGAAATACTTGTACATAAATAATGCAGTTTGCAATTTACCAAGGTTAAAAATATTTAAGACTTTAAGGTCACTTGGTGTCCTGGGATGAGAGTTGGTCATTACACGCAGAGCTCTTTTTGTAATACATATAGCTTATTTATTAAAGTATTTGAACATTTCCCCTATACTATATTACAATAAGAAAGATATGGCAAGATCAATGTGTTATATGAATTGGTTAAAATTCTCAGAGGAATGAAAGGCCTAATTATATATAACACTCCAATGGTACTTGGTATTTTCCCCATGATTTCATCAATATGACAAGACCAAGTCAGGCTATCGTCTACAGCAATTCCAAGAAATTGTATGCAGTATACTTTATCAATCTTGTAATTATGAATGTATCTTCAATTTCATCATTAAGATGTCTATTTTTTTTCTTAAACATTATTAGAGCAATTTTTGTTCCAAAGGCCTTTTTATGTCATACTCAGTTTATGTGAAATTATTTCTTCGGGGAACACAGGAGCGTGGCAATGGGGACCTGCTCGATGTTTTCACGAATCGCCGGCATTGTGGCGCCCCTCATACTCATACTGGCCAAGATTTGGACTCCACTACCCCTCGTCATCTACGGGTCCGTCTCAGTGATCGCTTGCCTACTGACTCTCTTCCTCCCCGAAACTTTGGGCCACAAGCTCCCCGAGACAATCGAAGAAAGCGAAAATTTTGGAAGGTATTGCAAAGTGTTATTCCCTTTTAGAGAATATGAGTGTGAGGTATTGTGAATGGATATTTGAAAGCGTGTTCACTCGTCACACAACATAACTCTTATTTTTATTTTAGCTACGAGGAAACAAGGTTGCACTGACAATAAAATACATACAAGAAAGTATTCCCTTTTCGTTATGTTTATTGGGTACTGATGAGGCTGGCCGTACACTTGCAAAGTGTAGCCAAGCACAAGCCGAAGAATCGGAATGAAAATGCATAAATGATAAATGTGAATATTGCACGGAGATTACATAATGATCAATGATGATAATGAACATGAATAAATGCGATGTACATAATGAACGTGAATAAATGCGATGTATAGAGCTTACGACATAGTAGAAATGAAGTCGAAAGTCCAATGAAGATGAAGAGAGTTGAGAACGAAGGAAGGGGCTCACGCGATGAAATGTGCGGAGGCTTGATGGCGGAAACGCGACTTCGTTGACGTGGTTGAAGAACCGTGAAGAATGCGATGTCGTCGCCGACGCTCATGATGATGATGAATGTAGATGGAGCTCTCGGGCGAGAATAGAAGAGAAGAGAAGAGATGTGTGGCGCTCGATGACGAAAGCAGTGAGTCGCTTGCTGTCGGAGGCCAAAGAAGAAAATGCAGACATCAAAGCCGGTAGTGGTGCTGAGACGGTGAGTCGCTCGATTGATGAGCCGAACTTTGATGGTGAATGTTTAGATGAGCTGCGGTGAGTCGAGCTCATGTGAGTGAAAGACTACCGGTGAAGAAACTGGAGCTCCCAGCGGATAACCAAGCACCATATATGTCGGAACTAGATTTAACTGTTCCACTGGAAGACTGCAGCCCGATGAACACGGCAGGGAAAGTGAAGATGTGCCGATAGAGGTGATAGGCACAGTAGAAACAAGCCCGGAGAAGAAATCATGCAGAAACGTGTTGACTCAACTGAGATGAAAGCAGGAGTTGTTGACTCGACCGAGGTGTAAGCGGGAGTTGTTGACTCGACCGAGGTGTAAGCTGGAGTGAAGGAAACCTCGTGGTGATGAAAATACGCGAGTGAACGATGCGCGGAACCACGATGCTCGATTGGAAGGAAAAACACACGTGGTCCGAATAATGAATATAAATAAGTACCGTGATGGAAAAATACAGGAGACATGAATTAATGTACGGTGAAAGTAGGGCATGTAAGAGCCGCTACATTACTCCCCTGCCAGAATTGAAGCTATGTATGCAATACACAGATGAGAGGCGAAAAAGATATAAATGAGCAAAGTACAAAATGTCACAAGAATCAATGGCTGATAAAAATGTAAAAGTGCATGTATTGTATAGTGTATGCAGTAATTTACAACAGCCTGAGAAATGTACAAGCATGGCATGTTGAAAGAATGTAATACAACAAGCATGGTATGCGAACGGCTGTTTAGTTGCCAAAAATTGAACAGTGAGTATTGACATGGTATGCATCGAATAAACGTGTATAAATGCAAGAGCATAAAAAACATTCAATACATAATCCAGAATGAATACATTTTATAAAACATTGCTAAGTCCAAAAAGTCAGGGAATAATAAAATCGTACAACCAAGCTTCCAAGTAAACTCGGGGTCACCAATGTAGAAATATTGGTGTGTGTACAACATCATGACATAAAATGGTAAATGGACATTATTGAATGGAATGTAATGACATAATAAATGAAAGCTTACGACAGAGTAGAAATGAAGTCGAAAGTCCAATGAAGATGAAGAGAGTTGAGAACGAAGGAAGGGGCTCACGCGATGAAATGTGCGGAGGCTTGATGGCGGAAACGCGACTTCGTTGACGTGGTTGAAGAACCGTGAAGAATGCGATGTCGTCGCCGACGCTCATGATGATGATGAATGTAGATGGAGCTCTCGGGCGAGAATAGAAGAGAAGAGAAGAGATATGTGGCGCTCGATGACGAAAGCAGTGAGTCGCTTGCTGTCGGAGGCCAAAGAAGAAAATGCAGACATCAAAGCCGGTAGTGGTGCTGAGACGGTGAGTCGCTCGATTGATGAGCCGAACTTTGATGGTGAATGTTTAGATGAGCTGCGGTGAGTCGAGCTCATGTGAGTGAAAGACTACCGGTGAAGAAACTGGAGCTCCCAGCGGATAACCAAGCACCATATATGTCGGAACTAGATTTAACTGTTCCACTGGAAGACTGCAGCCCGATGAACACGGCAGGGAAAGTGAAGATGTGCCGATAGAGGTGATAGGCACAGTAGAAACAAGCCCGGAGAAGAAATCATGCAGAAACGTGTTGACTCAACTGAGATGAAAGCAGGAGTTGTTGACTCGACCGAGGTGTAAGCGGGAGTTGTTGACTCGACCGAGGTGTAAGCTGGAGTGAAGGAAACCTCGTGGTGATGAAAATACGCGAGTGAACGATGCGCGGAACCACGATGCTCGATTGGAAGGAAAAACACACGTGGTCCGAATAATGAATATAAATAAGTACCGTGATGGAAAAATACAGGAGACATGAATTAATGTACGGTGAAAGTAGGGCATGTAAGAGCCGCTACACCCTCTTACCCGAACCCCCTCTTTCTCCCTCCATATTCCTCCCACTCCATCCCACTCCCACCCCTGCCTCTTATCATACCAAGTCCTGGAGCCCCCCCCCCCCCCTCTTCCTCCACTCCCCCACTCGCTCCATCCCCTGAACTCAATCTCAATGGCAATGCAAAATTGTGTGAACTTTCTCATTTCTCTGTGCAAAAACTGTAGCGCATGTACTGTCTCTTAAAATGGATTTTAATTTTGGCTTATTTCTAGAATATAAGATACTTTTACACCAATCGATAAGTCCTGCATTTTTTATTCCTGCATATACAAATGAGAGAATCAGTCAAGAAACTGAAAAGAGAGCAGACTTAATAATTGACCATGCTTGAACCTTGTTTGATAGCTCCTATCAAACAAGCTTTCTTTCTTGGTGGTACTTCTCTAAGTACCCCTCAGGAACAAAACGAGAAGGGATTGGGAGGGCACATTTTTGTTCGTTAGTCCTCGATCGTTGCTTTTATTTTGTTTTTCGGAAGAAGTTGGATCCTTAAAGTTTGCGTCTGTTGTTGTATATGGAACTTTTGAGATCGGCTGGCATTTTCCAGTCATTGATGGAGTGTGGAATGAAGGAATATTCAAAACAGTTTGAAAGGATAAGGTATTGAATATAGAATTTGTTGAGGAACTTCTATAACCCGAAACCTAAATTGCAATCCTAACCAGGGACGTGATAGAGAAGGACTGGAATCAAGCCGCTCTCCTTTGACCCCATGCTCCAAGCCGCCGAAAAATTATGCGCTAATCTGCAACTGTTGACCAGGTGGTGAGATAAAAGAGCGCATGAAATTTCAGGAGTTAGAATTCCTACATCAGAAAATGGTATCACTGCAACTGTTCGCTGTCCCTTCCAATGATCTCTCATCCATTGTTGAATGTGTAAAGAGTAGAACAAGCGAACACAAACTTGTGTACTTTCATCCTTTTTTAAACTTGAAAAATACAAAAAAACACGCGAAAACACGCATTAGCAAACTTAATGTTATTGAAGATTGTAAATCATGGATCAAATAACGGGACATTAAAACATGCACAAATTAGCGCATCATCCTAAAATATTGAGTTTTTGACAGGATGTAATTTTTCTTTTACCAACTCTGGCACACAAATTAAAGGAAGGACGGAGTTCTAAATTTGAAAATTTGTTTGATGCACTATTCCCAATAAAATCCCCATATAAATTTTTTGATTTACACTGAAATTTTGCCGGTAATTTAATATTTTGTAATAAATGTAAAACTGGTGCCTGGCTTCCGAAAGTCCCCGCAGTGGAAGCGCGGTTCGGAGCATGGAACTTCAAAGCCAAGTGGAATGTTACACATCCTATTGTTACGCTTTAGAACTCAAGAATGCGTTTGAATAACTAGAGTTTCGCCTCCTTTTCTTTCACCTCCCTGTCCTAACCCTATTCACCTTTGAAAGCTAGGAGCAATCAATGTTGCAGTAGCAAATGTCGGATCGCCCATATGACCATATTTGTAATGCTGAGATCTTGTTCTTTTCATACAGGAAATCTGACGAGAACAACACCAGCTCGGGTACAAATGGCGTCTACATTCTTAACCAGGATGGGCGTGAAGAGAAGGAGATTAAAGAGAATGGAGGGGTCAACACCATGGATTACGTGAATCCTTCATTCAATATTCAAGATGAGAATGACCACGGCAAACGGGATAGTGGCGTGCAAGCTGATTTACCGGAATAACCTTAGAAAAGTACATGTACCTTCGCGAAAAAGAGGTGTACAAAACGATATATCGGCTTGACGAAGTACTGTTAGCACAATAGCAAACACATTCGAGAAAAATGTAAGGGCTAAGTCAATATCATATTGTACATCCAACAGATATCATGTTTTGGGTGACGTGATACTTTACTTTTTATGTTCGCTGCAATGTTCGCACATTTTGTATACAGTGCGTCCCAAAAAAAACTATACACTTTTGAAATGGCTGCCAAATATTCTGGGGGGGGGGGGGGAGTTTTATATGTACGGAAAGCTCATGAACGTAACTTTCAAATGACACCAAAATATCCGAAAATAATTCATGTTTGGGTGATAATTCATTAAAAGTTAGATGGCTAAGACCATAGCGGACTAGTCTTCTTGCAGACAGACACTTTCGTTATATGGATGGGGCCATTGGAGGGGGGGGGGGGGGGGGGGGGTGACTTTGAAGCGGACACTTTTTTTTTTTTTTTTTGTCTTGAAATTTGAAAATTTGACATTTTTGTCGTTGGGGGGGGGGGGGTAAGGTCACTTTACGTTAGTCGTGGGCATAATTTTTTTTTTTTTTTTTTTAAATTTAAAAAAAAACAAAACAAAACAACAACAACAAAGGGGGGGTTTGAACCCCCAAACCCCCTCCCCCCCCCCCCCCCTGCGTACGCCCCTGGTGATCACACTTTGTGTGATGTTCCTACTTGCAAACTAAACCAAATTAAAATTAGTTGTAAACTAGTATATGATAACACATATTGACATAAATTTAATCACTACACACCAATATTTGCTCAGAAATGTAATATTTACTTGCCATTTAACAATTTAAAATAAGCGTTTTCCAACAGAAATTAAGTACACATATGAATTGCTTTGCAGTTAAAATCAATTATTGCAACCCCTGAAACAATTAAACAAAAATTTAAGCCTACATAATGTTTACAAAATCACCTTTTTTCAAGCTTATTTCAGAAGACGTAATTCCGTTACCATTTATGTAATTCCGTTACCGCTACCTTCTTTCATAAAACCATCCAGCATCGATAAACCATGACAACTTCACCCCCCAAAAAAATGCCATGGGACAGGCAACAACATATAAAGCCCCAGTCCCATATAAAGCCGGACCAGCACGGACGAGCACAGACCACTCCGGACCATCCCGGACCATGGTCTGGGGTGATCCGGGATGGTCCGGGATGTTTTGTTCAAAAAATCGCAACCGCCGACCGTCTCCCCGGACCCAACACAGTACCACTACGGACCGCCCCGGACCATCCGGGCATAGCCCCGGCAGCAGTACAGATCATTCCAGACCCAGCACGGAGCCGCCACGGACCGTCCCGGACCACCCCGGTGCCAACACGGTGCCAACACGGATGACACCGGACCATCCCGGTGCCAACACGGATCATCCCGGAACGCCCCGGTGCTGGTCCAGGGTGATCCGTGTCGCCACCGTGCTGGGTCCGGGATCATCCGTAGGGGCGCCGGGGTGATCCGGGGTCAATAACTCACTCCCGGACTGCCATGGATCAACACGGACCGCCCCGGCGCCACTACGGATGACCCCGGACCCAGCGCGGTGGCTACACGGATCACCCCGGATCAAACTATTGTCCCGGACCGTCCCGGACCACCCCGGCAGTTTTTGACCGTCAAAAACATCCGGGGTCGACTCCTGCATGGACCGCCCAGGACCATCCAGGACCATCCAGGACCATCCAGGACCACCCCGGTGCCAACACGGTGTCAACACGGACCGAATCCCGGATCACCCGGGATGGGGTCCGGGATGGTCCGGGACGGTCCGGGACGTATATGGGACTGTAGCTTAAGCTCCCAATAGCATTACTTCACCCCAAATAGACTGCAGATTTCAGACGAAATCTTTTCAAAGTTAGTGTAAAAAATAACCTGATTTTTCTGCCGTAATTCCGTTACCGACACACTTTTGGTCCTGGGGTGTTCCGAATGTTGGAAAAAAAAATCAATTTGATTTTCTAACAGGTGCATAATACAGAAAGAATAAAAAGATAAATAATCACCTAGGTCTAACCACCTGTCTACAGTATATAAAACTAGAGCCCAAATTTCTCTGAAATGTAATTCCGTTACCGTGGAATTGCCCATAATGGGGCCTAGACCTAGATCTAGGCCAACCTGGACCAATTAAAACCAACTTAGATATCTAGATCTAAATCCTATTCGGGATCCTATTAGGCCTAAGTCCCATTGAAACATGTTAAAACCTATTGAGACTAATTAAAACCAATTGGAACCAATTGAAAATTCATTGGTGTTCTATAAAGATCTAGATATAGATCTAGATCTAGATCTAGATCTAGGGCCTAGGCTATATTGGTTTCAATTGGAATTTCGTCTTGGGCTGGCTCTCATCAACATCATCTGCATGATGTTTGGTATGCATATCAGTGATACTATCACGGAGTGTAAAGTACTCACCGTCATTTCTGTCAGCTTCATGGAGGCCCGGTGGGGTCACTCCCCTGCAAAGAGTGACACGTATGACCGTTACCACCATAACTCCCTTTTGTGGTCAATTTCAAGGACATTTTGTGAAATTTAACCCCCTTTTTTACGTCAAAACAAGGACAAAATCGTACTTTGGAATACCCCTATTTATAAGATTGTAAGGACACTTTCGCAAATTTACCCCTATTTTACCATATTTCAAGGACAAGACTCGGCTCCGAGAATTTTTCTTCCCGGTTTTCTCTTTTCCCTTTTCCTGACCCCTATTTATCAATTTCGGGGACACCTGTGCACCCCTATTTTCTTTATTTTGAGGAATATTTTGTCCGCGGACATTGCTTGAAATTGACCCCTTTTTCCGCGATTTTGGTAACGTCGATCATGCGGTCCGGAAGTCACATTGAGTGACCCCACCGCCATGGAGGACAAAATCTCCTGGTGTCATATTCCTTAAATTCTCAATACCTCTGTTAGCAAAATACAGCATGGTGTCAAGGAAACCTTATTCTTTTGGAGACCATCGGCAGAGAATGAATCTAGACCTAGATCTACCTCTAACAGTTAGACAGGCTTTGCAGAATCATCGTCATATGTCATCCTTCGGAATGGCAGGGTGGTGTTTCAGAGCAGCTTTAACTGTTGCTTTTTTCACAACAGCTTTGAATGTTTTCCCACTTCTCGAAAACGAATCCTCTTTGGTAATGGTAACATTTCTTGACGCCGAGAAATGTCTTTGAAGGCTAAATCGCAAAGCCTGCATCGTTTTCTTGCTGTAGGTCTAGGCCTACCGCCTAGATCTAGTCTACTCCGTTTTGATTCCGAGCTAGCGTAGAACTGCAAGAGAAGGGGGACTAGGAAGGTCTAGGGCTTCGTTATTCACAAGATCATCATCAATTAAATCCCGAAACACAGAAAGCCCGTACTGATCTGTTTCTTCCTGTTTTTGCTGTCACTTCAGATTTCAACAATTCGTCCACATCTAAAAGGAGAAAATGGGGATAGTCGGCAGCCATTTCACCACGGTTATCTGCCTGAACTTGGGGAGCAGCCATTTTGTCGAACTATGTTTTTTCAGCTGCCTTTCTCAATGCGCGATAGCGCGCACGCCGTGCCGGAACGAACTCTTCCGATGGATATGCATACCGTACGCGTACCGGCTGAAGAAACTTAAGGCGGGGGATTTAGCTTGCGCGCGTTCGTTGCACATCAAAAAATTGAAGAAATTTAGATATCGAACGCAGAAATATCAGTGATCGGTGGAAAAAGTGGATTCCGGAATATCCCTTATTCGTGCTCAATATATCATGAGGGATATCATTTAAAAAGATACATAAACGGTTTACCCGTTGGTCCCTATATAGCTCATGCCTCATGGTCCCCTTTTTCTTATAGTAATTAAGAGCTGATTTAAAGAGATAACCACCTGTAACTGACCAGGGAGGTCTAATCCCTCACTGGCCAAACTAGTGCAGATCTTTGATGTACCACATACATGTTAAACATTACGAACAATATGGTCGACAGCTTTTAATACCAACACGTATCGTAATCGAATAGGACGTGGGGAAGAGTGAAAATACCTATTTTTGGGCAATCGCCACTTCATATTCGGTCAGTCAGTGCAATTTGTTGTTATTTTTATAAACAAATTTGCAAATCGATGGCAAACTTAATTAATTGGTCCCTGTTAGTAGGCCTAATATTAAGATGATTCAAATTTGTGCTCGTTAAACAATTCGCTGTGAAATTAGGAAAATGGAAAGACCCAGTTGCGATATGGGCGCTTTTGACAGATTTATCTTCTTTAGTATTTTACATTTCCAAAATATCATTAATAACGAAAAAAGCTTCGAGACGCGGCGTGCCAGTGTTTTATTTTGTTTTAAAATTGAGATAATTAAAAAGGCATTAGTCCAATATTGCGTTTGAGAATGTAAAATAATGTCCTCCCTCGAGAGGGAAAAGGTGATGGCGAAATAAAGTCTTGTTTTTATTGATTTTGGTACCTTTGAGTATCACAACTTGCATGGTGATGCCTAGCTAATAATCAATTGTTGACCTTTGACTTTATCAATTTGACAGTTTTGCTCTAGTGTATGCTTTTGTATCAGTATGTATACTGTTATCTTTTCTTTTTCTGTTTACCGCTCCAACATTGCATTTTCGGCATTTGTAACCAATAAGCAATGTTAATTGCTTCTGCATATCAATATTTTTGTTGTTTATTTTGGTTAAAAATATATTATTTTTTTAGTCAGGCGCGGATCTACGGGGGGGGGGGGTTAGGGGGTTTAACCCCCCCCCCCCCCTTGGGCGGCCCTTCCCCCCCCCCCCCCCCCCCCAAAAAAAAAAAAAAAAAAAAAAAAAAAACTGAAGGAAAAAAAAAAAAAAAAAAAAAACGCACGCTGGAGAGAAACCCTTTCAAGTGCAAATATTGTGAGAAGATATTTAACTCATCTGGTAACTTAACCAAACACATGATAACTCTGGATATAACTGTGTATTAAACTGTTACTTGATTTAAAAAGATGTTATCATGCACTGCTTTTTATGGTCTCCATTGTGTTAATAGATGCCAGGAAAACATCACTTACGGGGTTCAAATAAACACCCCCCAAAAAATCGGCTCGCGGCTCGTGGACGATGCTCTGCATCGTCTTTATTTTGGTCAAACCCCCCCCCCCCTTTAAATAGCAAAAAGCTAGATCCGCCCCTGTTAGTTCCAAATCATCGGATGTATTATGATACATTATATTATTTACTTCATGCATTATGTGTCATGTTATGGCAAGAAGAAAAAGGGAGCTTTTCTGCTGTTATAAGCAGGCACGTACAGCCACGGGGGGGGGGGGGGGGGCACGAGAGGGCACGTGCCCCCCAAGAATTTCCAAGATCGGTTTAACTTTTTTAGACCCTTTTTTTACCTCGATCGATTACCTCGATCGGTGTATGTACCCCCCCCCCCCCCCCCGTGCCTGTTCCTTTTGAATTTTGCTATATACACTGCATTAATTGTAAATTAAACTACTAATGATAATTTGTTTACTAAAACAAATGAGTGATGTACATCAATGAAGATTAATAAATACAATTATATAAATACAATACATGTTTATTTTTTCCATAACAAATGTTTAAGAAAATTCTGTCTCATTATTATTTCACTGTTTTACGCATAATAATACTATAGGTTTTCCCGCCCAACTTCGTAAACTTAGCATCCGAATTAACGTTACGTTCATTCAAGTTCGTGCGAAATTGAATGACTATGTAGCCTAGATCAACATTCAAAAAGCTAATTGCGTCGTTCAATTTGATTTAGTAGCATGCGATTTCATACTCTTGTCACGGAGAAGTGCAAACCGAGCATTCAATTTAGAAAAGCGTGCAAAGAGCATTCAAATTCGCGCCGGACAGACGGTGGTATGTATTCGAGCATTCAATTTCGTGATCAGGCATCCATATGTGACATTTGTGCATTGCTTTTCATTTGATGTTAATTTGTTACTTAACATACTTCTGTTTGAATAATTTAATGCTAAGTTTACTTGTAGGAATGATTATGCGTATTCGTTAGCAGATATCTGTCATTACACAGGTAAATGTCCCCAGAGAAGGCGCACAATTTGTGACTTCTCTTCTTCTTGTAAGAACAAGCTATATAATTATACACAGATCCTGGACAGCGGTAGAGTTGAGCTTTAGACATGGCCATGATGGAAACAAAATACAATGATGAATAAAGAAAAATATGTGAAATGAAAAGAAAGAAAGATTACCCACACAATCCAGATTGATAAAAAAAAATAATTAAAAAATAACCTCATTTATAATGAAAGATATGAAGACATGACTGTATAAAGAAATGTTTCATCAAAAATAAAGATCGACAGAAAGAGAAAATATTGAATGCAATATAAATGATGTGAAATCATGTCAGAAAAGATCGTAGAGAAAAAGAATAAACAAATGAACATGAAAAAGTGAATATCCGAATAAACATCGAGCCTCGTACAATAATTATGAGGTCTAGTTTTAATTTGAATGACCCGATTGCGAAAGAGGTTGCCCATAGACGAAAATGAAACCGCAATTCGACAAAGAATTGTCCTCCCACTCAACTTTGGAGAAATTGAATGACGCTAACGCATTTCCAAATTGACTGAACCAAACGTTAATTTGAATGTGCTTGTTTCGAAAATTCGGTGACTCGAAACGAAATTGAATGCAAAAAGTTTAAAAATGAAACAGGGAAGCAACGAGTGGAGAAAATTCGCTCGAACATGAATGCACATTAGTGAAATTGATCGCTGCTTTGACGAAATTGGCCGGGAAAACCTATAATATGACTTAATGAAGTGAATAAATCTAGTGCAATAATAGAGGACAGCAAAATAAATTGTGCAAAGTGTGATTTTGGACAAGAATATTTGTATCTTTGAATAATTGCGTTGTCTCTCGTCGTGTAAGAAAGATAGGACTATAGATTAAGAAAATAGATCGATAATATTATTCTTCTTCTTCTTCTTCTTCTTCTTCTTCTTCTTCTTCCCACGGCCTTTTGATCTTTTTTCATGTGCACGTGAGATTGAAGGTTTTTCCAAGCGAATTATCTTACAAGCTACCATACAAGATGTCGTCCTCCATTGCTGTTTTTGTGTTGATTTATGTGGCCATTGTTCACACTTACAGACTGTATATACCCGCCATATCTAAGTTGGTAAGTAATTAAATGATGTAAAGAGAAGGGGGATGGTGTGAATCTATAATCTGTGAAAAATCACCATGTTATTTCACCCTCAAAATGGCAAACACATTGTAGTCTAGATCTATGTAGTCCCATTGGTTGTATTTTGTGTTGGATGGGAATAGGCTAGACATGGCGGCTATTACAGTGCAGTACTAGATCTAGATCTAGATCTAAAGTAATTGCAGAATACCCTACCAATGGTGCTAAGGTAGTGACTTCAATGCTAGATGTACAATTATCTGAATAATCTGAACATTTGAGCGAAAACCGACCATTATTAATGGTACAAAAACAAATTGGGAAAAACTGATCTGATCGATTCCTTAATTCTCCCAACTGTCTATATTATTACAATTTAATTACATTTTACGTGAATAGAAATCTCACAAAGCAATAAAATGGCTCTACATTCCATTCCAGACATTTTGTGTTGACAGATTTTTATAGCCTGTTTTTATGTCTTTTTTTCATGGAAAAACGGTTGGGAAAATTCAAAAATGGTTGGGAGAATTTAGATTCAGAAGCGCCGCACATCGACGTCCGTTCGAAAACCCGTTGAACTTTGTTAAAAATCTTCATATTGCGTGAATTAATTTCGGATTTGGGGCATCGTAGTTGGATAATCCATACATACAAACATAATTTTAGGCCTACGTGTTTTGCATCCTGATTCAACAGGTTTGTGAAATTAACCATCACAATGTTACTAAGTACCTTTAACACGTATGTAACATTAAAAAATAGAGGTACATAGTTGAGAGCGATGGACCCAAGTGGCAGAAGTCTTGCTAGAATAACCAGAAACTCAAGTAAAACTCATAAACGAAACTGGTAAATTTTATTTGTTTCTTATTTTTTATTAATATTGAGTGGTTAATATGTACAGGGTGTATGATAAAAAATTAGTACGTTAGCTGCAGCAGGTTTCACAAAATATTGCACGAATGTCACTCGTATTTTGTGTCTGAATTACCTACTTACCTACTTACAGTACAGTGTTGCCTCTTTTACTACACAGCCAGGATAGTGATGCAGCTACAGTGTATGTGTGGTCCCACACACTTACTTGTATGTACCTTGCGCTTTACCTTGGGAATAGCTAATTGGTCAATTTTAGTCAAGAAACATTGTTTTATAGCTTAATTAATATCTTGACCTTGAGAGGGAGCTATACAACATGAAGCGTTTATTATTTACAATTTAATAACTTTAGACTCGATTTCAACCGTGACAACGATCACTGAATATTGTAGGATCACATATGCTTCCTATATGTTCATTTAAACCAAATTCATGACCCCATACCAAAACTTTGTATTACCTTTAATATAGTAGTTGTAAAATGTCTCGTTTCAAAAATACAAAAGACAAAAATAGTTATGTGCCTATACTAGACTAGTATTGGTCGATGATCGTTGGTCATTAGCTTCTTTCATTAGTTTAATATTTGTCAGTATCTACGTCGATGGTCATTGGTTGTTGGCTTTTTTAAACAAATATGCCTTACTTTTTGGTCGATAGTCGTCGGACTCTTTCATTAAAATAGTATTTGGTCGATGGTTGTTGATCGTTAGGTTGTGTGCCCCGATTCTGTGCTAAACAATATATTTTAATACTCGGTAGCATTGAATGCCCTTAAAACCATCGTAGGGTATTCTGCAGATGTTCCGACATAGCATTGCCATTGGCAACCATAAATACCTGATTTTGCAGAAGGCTTCGTTTTTGTTTCTAGTGCCCGGACTTAGGACCCATCTCCTTCTTTTTATGATTATTATTCTCATTAGTAATAATTATTATTATTATTAACATTACCCCAGTAATAAGATTTAATTTCTAATCCGCACATGAAAATGCACACAATCAGCTCCCTGGGTAGTATTCTATCCACGCCATAATACAAGCGCACATATGCCAATCCAACCACATTCACATCCTACCGGTTACCCATTTGAAACCTGGGTGGAGAGTGGCAAATGTAGGTTAATGTCTTACTAAAGGACATTAGTGCCGCAGCAGTTCTCGAACGGTGAATAATTGGTACACTTTGAACCGTGATCCACAATTGGGTGATGTATCCACCAGACCATGACACCTCATAGCTTGAATGATTTGTTTTCTCTCTCTCTCTCTCCCTACATGTAGATTTTGAAGAAACTCAAGTTGGTCTCTGCACAAAATGAAGACAAGAGAAAGGCATTACAAGATCTTCTGGATCAGCAATCCGAGATTGACATGAAAGAAGAATTTGCAAAGTACGCCAAGATTGAACGGAAGATCATTAAACTCAAAGAGGAATTGAAATCTTTAAGTAAGTTCAAAAGGTTGAAAATGCAGGCAGTAGTATTTAGGATCTTAGATTTCTAGTTGATGCAGTTTTTGGAAAGCAAATTTAAAAAAAAGTAAAATAGTAAAAATGAGAATCAAGTCTTGTAGTGCATACCATACAGATGCATTTTATGTTGAAGAGCTTTGTAAATAAAAATTCCAGAGCTATCTTTTGGTAAATTGAAGTTTCAAAAGAAAATCTGGACTTCCTATGTGTGAAGAAAACAAAACCTCTTCAATTCATCAGTAGGTGTGATTGAAGTTAACAGCTAAGTAGAACTGAGTGATTACCATGCCACACTACAGCAAAGTAATTACTGCTTGTCAGTATCGGCTTGCATGGTGATGTATATATACAGTAGGCTTGCGGATGCACCATGTGAGAAAGGGAAGGAATGAGAAGTCCTGAAAAGAAAGATTACCGAGAGTCCTTTTCAGGACTCCTCATTCCTCCCTCTCTCTCTCACATGGTGCATCCATGCACGTGCATACTGTATAGCGAAGTAATTGTTTTGAAAATGATGTATCAAGAAATAAATCCTACATGGAAACGCTAGAGAGACACAGGCCTGTGAAAGTTTGAGCAAAAACCAATTAAAATTAAGAAAGTTATACATTTTTGAAGGTGCATTCAATCAAGCTTAAATTGGAAAAGTTCTCTCCTCCCATTGGCCCTGTACTAAAAAACTTCCAAAATCTATATTTTTCCTTAAAATTTTCAATCATACAACCTGAACATAATTATTGCAAATACATTTGTTTTCAACCCTATATGACACAAATCTATTCCGCCATCAATAACTAAGAAAATGAAAGTTTATGAAACTTTCTGTACAGAGCAAATTTAAGAAGAGCTTGCAGGATACCTCAAAGTTTTGCCAATTTGTATTTAACTGATGGCAATTTTTTTTGTTGATTCATAAAATTTCACATGTTTAATCAGATATTCCTCAAGCTTTCACTCATTTGTTTTTTGTTTTTTTTTGTTCTGCTTTCATTAAAACCAACTTAATATTAGGGTGGACTTCCCCTTTAACTAGAACTGGTAATCGATGTTTCTGGATACAAAGCCACATGTTTGGCTAATGGACACAGTACAGTTCAACTCACTCTCACTTGAATACATTCAAATAAGCAATTCTCTGCTACAAGCTAAGTTACAGACAACCTTTATTATCATTTCGCTCTTGATACTATTCTTCCTTTTGCCTCTTCCAGATAAGCTGATAAAAAATATGTTAGTTATAATATTATTTCCTTTTATCAATTAACATCCGCAGAAAAGTCTCAAGTTGCAACCAGATTTACTGTCAGCTGGGGTATCACATTAGCTTTGAACACCATCTATGTGAGTATTAAATGTTGACTGCCTTGAGGGGCACAGTAAAAACTATGGCCCCAAAACGACAGTCGAGAGGCATAGCACAGTTGCGAGATCACTGAGGGCCGTGTTTTACCGTGACACAAAAAAGAAGCATTCATTTTATATGTACCGCATCCTTCGTTAGCTCAGAAATCTATTTCAAAGACAGATGAAATTACCGTACCGTAACGTAATTGATCAATCTTTCAAAATTTTGTTTGGTGAACATTTATGATAAGGTGCCAGCTGCACACCCACTTATCTAAATTGCCAAAGCTACTACAAAGACATATCTATGCTCGGTCAATATTCTTCACCATACCACCCGGCAGTCTGTAGTAAATTTCATGCCCGCAAATTTGACCAATCAGAAGCCTAGAATCTAGACATGCGGTATATAATATAAAATAGTACTGAAAGATACAATTTAGATCGTCTGAGTGGAAAGCTACAAATGTCTTGCCAAGGAATACCATTGAGCTAAAACTTTTAAGATAGACATCAGTTGTATGGAGCCAGAAGGGCATATGAATAAACACAGGATTGACATGTTCTTTAAATTCAGGTAAAGTGAGAAATCAATCAACCAAGTCACTATCAAAATTTCCCCTTTTCCTTTGACAGAGCGTTTTCATGATTGGCCTGATCTGGAGCTACCGCTATGAGCCCGTCATTCTCCTGGAGGAGGAGTGGGCCTGGCCTTTCGGGCGGATCCTGGCCTTCCCCTGCGGCATTCCTGGGGCTGTAGGCATAACCGCCTGGTTAGCTGTGTGCTCGGCGATGGTTGCACGGCTACAGGGATCCGTCCAGTACTTTTTTCTAGGAGACAGGACCAGTTCAAAGACGTCTTGAAGGTACAGAGATATGACTGACTGAATGACAAAGATGTGTTTAGGACTTTAGGTACTGTCTGTGTGTAGAGGTCAATGGTAGACCTTGATCTCAAGACTTTGATGCATGTTTGATGTCTGTGTCCCAACCCAAAGGCTGAATGTGAAATAAATGTGTCTCCTGGGCGGCGTTTCACAAAACTTGTCATCATTGACGAATAACAGTTTTTGTTATAAGCTACTGAAATCCTTGATTCTGATTGGTTATCAGCAGATTTGTCACTGATTTATGTCATTTGCCATTGAAAAAAGACTTTGTGTAACGGGTCCCTGGTCTTGTCCTCAAGATCTCAAGTCTTTACTACAGCACTAGAAGTCGTAACCCATAGTTCTTTTTGAAGCATGAGAACAAGGCGTCAAGAGTTGGAGTCTAAGAAGGTTTAACATCGTTACTTCAATCACAATAAACGTGATGTAGCAAGATCAGTGCAGGTCTCAAGTTTATCATGTTTCAGTCATGGTCCGATCCACGACCTAATGCATCATGAATGAAAATTAAAACTTTTCCTCCTGGTCATGGCGTGGAGACCGCGTGGCTATACTACAGCACTAGCGCAGGTAGCGTCTAGATCGCAGTGAGACGGTAGCACAAGGTCATGATCTGAAGTACTCCGTGTATAGATACTAGATAGAATCTATGTCATTAGATGAACTTTGTTGAAGGTTAGTGTCTGCATGCTGGTGTGTATAAATGTGTAGGTTTGCGGTTTCACCATACGGGTAGCCCTGAAAAGGACTGTTTGGTTTGAAAGGGGAAAGAAAAGCGGGTGAGAGAGAGTAAGGGAGAGGCTTTCGGTTCTGCCATTTGGAAGATTACTTGGTATGGTATGGATAGAGGTATTTAGTTCAGTATTTATTAAATTCCATGGTAAAAAACAGTAACATCAAAATATTACTTTTATATAATTATTATTAACATAGTACAATATTGACAGTAAAAAAACAAATAGGAATTAGGGTGCTGTATAAAAACCCTAGAGGGTTTGTCTGGACAGCCACCAAAAACAGTAAAACTAGTAAAGGAATCATACAAAATGATATATGGTATTTGAATACACAATAACAAAAAACAAAAACAAAACAAAACAAAGTAGAACATAAGCAAAAACAAAAACATACATGTAGACCGCACAACCCTAGGTAGTGAACAAATGAAGATCTTTTGTTGTTTCTGGAATGGAGTCCTGAAAGGGACTTGTGAACCCCTGTAGGTTATGATTGCAGAGAGAGAGATGGAGACTCAAAAATTCCTAATATGCAGTTTGAGATAAATTGGAAGCAAGCTTCAAATACATCACAGACTTTGTGATTCAACTACATGTACAACTGATTTGGGGTAGAAATTGCTTCCAGTTTTATGTTTTACAAAGAAAATATTCTTGATGCAATTTGAAATCGTCATATGAATATTTTCTGTAATGATAATGTGGCATGTTTTCAAGTTAGGTGAAGCTCTGGACTTAAAAAAATTATGAACCGTTCTATAAACTTACCCCAATTCAGGGTCCAATTAGGACATTTCTCTAAATTAATACAATGCCCTAGAACTTTTATTTCATTATTCTTATGGCTAGATGCAGAAACTCCGCAGAAGTTGTGTGTGCTAACCTCCACACTAACCTTTTTAGAAAGGGATCCGGATCTTACCTTGTACAGTCTGTGTGAATGAGCCCTATGCAAAGATTCCAAAATTTGTGGGGTCTGAACTTCATTTTTGGGGTGCCCTTGTGTCTCGGGCACCTGCTAGGCTGTTAGTGTCGGGTCATGCAACATGTCAAACCGGTATTCTATTATTTAATCTAGCCTATACCTGTACATGTGACCTTCTCATTCGTTTGAACCATTATCTTTACATGTGCCATGATTTGAATGTGCAATATATATGTCCATTGTGAAAATGTAACAGTAATTGTGAATTAGGAGGAGATTTAGTTGCCAAATATCAATGACAGTAAATTGTTGACATATTTATGTGCATTTTTTCAAAACACATTAGTCTTGATTTGTCATCTGCATGACATATTGACACCATTTCAGGGCATTATGCTGTTTGCATTAGACTGATTGTCTATTATTTTTGTTTTAATCCAATTGAAAATCATTTCATCATTCAGTTCACAGTTTTGTAAATAATGCCCTCTCTGATGTGTATTGTATTCTAGTGTACATGCTAGGAGTTTCAAAAATATTGCAAGATCCGCTATCGTATTTATTCATTAACATTTTTTGATGTGGAGAATCGCATCTATGGAAGACCCTTCAAGAGGACAAAAATAAGCTTCAAGTAAAAAAAACTAGAAATTGATTCAACATTTAGTACTTGAGGCAACTATTAGTCTACCCTCAGACAATTAGCCCCTGAAAACTGACATCCTATGACCACCTTGTGGACAACTATACTTTGTTTGGTCCCCACCCCCCTCCCCTGACATCTAGTTGTATGGGGATAAGTCAAATAATCTAGAAGGGTAGTTATTGAGTAGGGGAAGGAGAAAAATAAAGATAACATAATTTTGCAGATAATTCATATTATATTAAGCTGTTCTCTAAATTGAATTACAGAACTGTTTCTTGAGTATCTTATGGGCAATTGTTGTTATACCTCTAAGAGTACTGTCTTGTATTGTGTCTTAGACATCCATTCCTCAAATATTGTCTGAATATTTTGTATTATCCAATATTTATCAATGAATAAAGAGAAATACATATGTTATCATATCCGCTACGACGTATGTGATCTCAAACGTCAACGGTATTGTCCATGAAATCTATTTTCACTTTCATTGCTACATGTTGTAAATAAGCTTCATGATGGTGATGTTGGTGTTTGTTTTGTTGGTGGGGATGATGATGAAATTAATGATGATGTTTTTGATGAATATGTTGATTACACTGTTGGTGATGCTGGTGGTTTTACTGATAATAATGATGCAATAGTGTGCTAGGGTGGCACGAAACAAAAAAATGTTGCATGTGTTCGATAGGGAGAAGATACCTTGATATGTGGAAAAATAATGATGGTGATGGTATGATGATGATTATAATCATGTGACGATGATCATGATCATGATCATGATGGTGATGAAGATGATACTGTGATGATGATGATAATATAAACATGATGATGACGTTGAGATGATGACTACAATGATAAGATGATGATGAAGATGATTAGATACTGTGATGATGATGATAATGATAATATGATGATGATAATGATGTTGATATGATAATGGTTAAATGATAATGACAATGATGATGGTGATAGTGATGATAATGATGATTGTTTTTTTTTTACATGTGATGAGAAGGAGAGGCGAAGGAGGAGGATGTGGTTGACATTTCACCGACGGTACTTGTTGGAGCGCTATTCTAATTTCGGTAATCGGTCGATTTATTTATATTAACGGGTGTGACAGTGATTTAAACAAATTATAATAATATTCTGTGGAAACACTCCCATTTATTTATATACAGTTGTCACATTTGCGTAAATTTTGCCTCGTACCATCGGCAGTGAACACAAGCGCTATCGAGTGAAAACTTGATGTAGAGCGTTTCTGCGATATGTTAAAACTCCCTCTACGCTCGAGTTAGCTTGTGAAAATAAAATAGGATCTCATCTAGAAAACAACAGAAAGTGCTCAAAATAACTGGCATACTTTGCATTAAACACCCATGATGGTTTGTTATACCGTTTTCTCTGTATGTTATATCTTTCCCTACATGATATTAGGGAGGCACGGAACAACTTGTGAAATATTTAAGACAAAAATAATGATACTGCAGGAGGCAGAAAGATACAGTCAAGGGTAAATGAATACGATGTGAAAAGGCCGATAGCGCTATCTAGGATCAATTTGTTTGTTTCATGAGAAAGTTTTAAGTTTTAGGGACATTTTCATTTCTCACATACTATTGAAGTAAATGAAATATTCTCTCTCTCTATATATTTTCTCTATATTTAATATTTCTCTCTCTCTCTCTCTCTAATACATCGTGTTTTCTTATACATCTCTCTCGTATTCCTGTCTCATTCTTTCTTATTCTGCCTACTGGTCCCACCCCCCCCCCCACACACACACACACACACACACTCTCCCTCTCTCTCTCTCTCTCTCTCTCTCTTGCATCCTCCTTTTCTAATTCTTATCGTTTATCAAAATTGTTGATGTAGAATGGTGCCCATCTCCCTAATTGAAGAATGATCATCTAAATGGCTATTGCGAAATTAGATAATCGAGGTATTACGGCCAGTTTTAACCCATGGCAAGTTGTCACAGTCATATTTTTATCCAGAACGGTACTTGTGGCTACAGCCCACGAGACTGATGAAACGCGTGCATGTCCGGCTCGCGGGACCTACAGTACATGAGATGTACATACGGCCAACGAGACTGTTGAGGCTGGCATTGTCGGCCTCTAGAGCTGTCGATCTCTGCGATGACGGTCTCCTACGCTCACTGTATCAAGGGATGTCGCTCTAATTACATATCAGTCTGTTGTCGCTTTTCTACTAAAAAAATTAAAATTAAAAAATATAGGCCTTTCAAAATTGGGTTTGTGCCTATCTGCGCTAGTTTGACCGGGAGGGATTAGACCTCCCTGCGTGGTCTCTGGCAGGTGGCTTTCTCATCAAATCAGCCCTCAATTAGCATAGGGAAAATGGGACAATTATAGGGGGGACTAACGGGTACCCCTTTAATAGGCATTGTTGGCCTATAATAGCGGACGCAAGTAGCTATGCAGTCCCGCGGTAATTGATATAATCATTATAAAATCGTGACGAATAGACGCGCACTTTGGAATATAATACGGTCGCTCTAACGGTATTATATCTATCCTTTAATTCCTAACCCAACGAATGTAATTCAGAAACAGCTCTGTCAGTTTACTGTGCAGCACACTTGATACGTAGATGGGCTAACGTGGTTAAAGACAAAGTTGAGTTCTGATCTTGCGATTGCATTGTGAAAGAAACGTTGTGGAATCAATCAGAAAGGGTATTGGTGTGTACTGCAAGGTTCTAAATCCATCAAAATGATAATTTGGCCCAGTCTTGGTAAAGTTATATGTACACAGAATTGTGTATATGGGACTACATGAACACGTGGCATACAAATCCGTCCCGATTTTTATGATGTTACATGCCATATTTAGAATATGAAGGCATTTGAAGAGCCGTGCTTTTCAAGGAACATTTGTTATCTGATGTTCTTCCACACTTGCATATACGCTCACAAATAATGTGTCACCTCTTCCCAGAACTCAACTTTCTCTTTAATGTGACATATCAAACATCAATAATCTCATGTGAATTGGAATCAAATTTGTTTCCCGGTCTACCTGTATTCCACGAA